CTTAGCGCCCTGAGACACAAAAAATGGCCAAATTAACCAGGCCCAATTAAGATACTTAACAAATTTAATGCGCACACACACACCTCTGACGATTTACTGGGACGACCGGCGCATTCTTCGATTACCTCCGCGGCTTCAAACTTGCCAGAACGACGGTAAAGTGCGCCGAGATTACGAAGGGTGGTGGCTATTGTAGGACTAGATGGGCAAAAAGGTTATTAGTAAACCAGTCACTTTAGCGAAGATATGAAGAATACTTTGGATGAAAACACATGGCAAACACACAGAAACTGACGACACAATAACTAACAAATACTAAGAAGGTGAACTGCATACACACACACACACACACACACACACACACAAGTCCAAACCCGCAATCCTTGAAGTGAGATATAATTTTAAACTTACACAGGCAATTCTAATAAAGTTTCGAAAGAAGAGAAATCATATTTTGAAATTTCTTTAAAATTCATATTTCTTCCAAAAAGGCTAACTATTTTGGAAAACTAGATGAAAAGGGGTAGAAGTAGATGGAGAAGGCAATTAAAGCATTCAAACGACTATAAGAAGTGCATCGATGAAAAGTCAATTTGAATATTTTAAGTGCTTGAACAAATTGAGAGGCTGGTTAATCGATTAGGAATTTCAATAAAGTTGCACCATTTTCATACTGAATCCGAACCATAATACTTGCTTTGTGAACACATAGAAGCAATGGCTGTAATAGTGCTATATTGCATCATAGAACAGCTCTTGAATTTAAGGAAATATGTCGAATATACTAAAGAAAGTCAATGCAATAGAGAGAGAGACCACTGTGAACATACATTACTTAATGCAACGTGTATTCTCGATATGATATGAATAGAACTGAGAACAAACTAACACATACAAAAAACATTAATTTGAACAGGGCTTTTCATAGTCTAAAGACCATTAAATTAGTTATACAGTCGAAATAAACGAATAATCAATTGATTCAAATACAGACATTCATGACTGTACCTTTCAAATAAACCAAATGTGTGGATAACAAATTGAATCTGCTTACATCTTCCTCAACATAATTGGACAATTTTCGCCAAAGTTGGACTGTTTCGCCAACAGAGTGCAACTCTTATAAGAATATACCGGAATCTCAAGGCGTGCACTATTCAGATGTCTAAACGCACCGTTGAAAATATATAACAAGCTCAGATCTGGTGATCCAAAAAAGAGGTCGAAGCTAACTTGCACTTCCCCAAAAGCAATACTAAAGGACAACAAGCTTTTCCTCACGTGAACACTCACAAGATAAAGCGCGTTCAACTTACTTTTCCATGAGTGCCGAGCGTTGATTAAGGGCCTGATTAGAGAGTGAGGTGTCCCACTTTCCATTCTGTCTATCCTCCGCCAACATCCAAATCGGTTTAGTCGAACTCGCCTTTCCATATTCCAGCTCATGTGCGCGAGTTAGAATATCCTTGTAGAGCGCTTCAGCTTCAGAATATTTTGCTTGCTTCAAGTAGGCTGATGCCTAAATTAAGGGAAGATTTTGAAACCTTCATACAACAATAGTTGAAAAAAAGATTACTGAGCGAAAACAAAAGCAAGCACAAAATGCCAACAATAAGGAGCATGCACATACCAAATTAGTTTTCGTTTTAGTCACATTTGGGTCGTTGGCGCCAAGACAATGAGTGTAAATATCGAGAGCTCGTTGGTAGTACCGTTCAACCTGATTGATGTAGTGCACACCCGAGCAAACACACGAGGGGGCAGGCAAGATACACAACAGGAGTTAGAGGAAGCATGCGCAAAAAAGAAAAAAAAGAGGCAGGCAATAGATGATAGAAAGGGGCATTCATTGAGCATAAGCAACCCCCTTAAACCAACACTATCATGCGGAGTACGATATTTATCTTTTCTCTGTTTCTTATCTCACCAAAGTCGTGAGCGTTTTAAAAACCCTCTGAGGAACATCATTTTTCTCGTATATACTCTGGGCTCGGCGCAAATATTCATAAACCTATCATATTAGGCAAGTTAATCAATAGATAATTAAGACCCTTAAAGCAAACAATATCACCACAACAAACCTCTGAATACTTGCCCTGGTTTTGACAAAGAAGAGCTAGGTTATTGAGTTGCTTAGCAACATCGGGGTGATCCGCACCGAGCACCTTTTCTCTGATTTCCAAGGCTCGTTTACAGAGGGGTTCAGCTTCTTGGTACTTTCCTCGTTTCCCATACAGAACGGCGAGATTGTTGAGTGTGGCAGCGACAGCAGGATGATCTGGTCCTAAATGTCTCTCTCGAATAACAAGAGCCTCGTTAAGTAAATTCGCGGCATCTTTGTACTTGCCTTGATCTCTGTAAACAAGCGCAAGAATATTAAGCATTGTTGCCACATCTGGATGATCCCTTCCGCTGTTCTTTTCCAAGTCCTCCAATGCCTGCTTGCAGAGGGGCACAGCAACTTCGTAACGACCCTCGCTAGCGTACTGAATAACAAGATTATGCAGAGTTCGAAGTCTAGCTGGAATTTCATAACTGTTCATGATTTGAGACAGTGCAGTAGTCTGGCTTGAATTCATTACTAAGATTTCAAAGTCATTAAAGAATTCGAAAACTCACCATCTTGGTCACTATCGTCCTTGTCCTGACCAGTCTTAAGGTCTTTAGTACTATCGCTAGCTGGGAGTCCACTCTGATCCGGCGCATCATATTTGGCCATTTCATTTGCAAAATTAAGCTTATTGATTTCTTCTTCCAGAGCAACTATACGAACCTGACTCTGACGGTATTGCAACTGCAAATTCGCAAGTTCATCTCGGAGCCAACGATTTTCGTGAAAAAGACGTTTAGTTTGGGCTTTGAGCCTTTGCTTTTCAGCCTCAGCACTTTGAAGATAGTCCGAGAAAACAAAAAGTTCCTAATTTTAAATAAATAAGCCAAATAAAAACATACATCACCATCATAAATAGCTTCCTCAATTTTCTCAACAAAAGATTCCAATGACTCCATCTTTGCCGATTTAGCTTGACCATTGGTGTCTCCATTCTTATTTAGTTCCTCCAATGCAGATTTATGCTCATTTAGAATTGAGTCGAGAACTTTCATCGAGGAGCGAAGTTGTACTAGTATTTCAGATTGAGAAACGTTTTCCATCGTTAGATAACTGCTAAATGTGCAGGAACCGAAGGGTACTGAAACAGCGTACAAAAATATTTGCACAATGCGGCTATGGCGTCGTAATTTCTAACCAATAAGGCCTAAGGTTAAAATAAATGCGTCTAAAATTTAGTTAGATTATGAAAGAAAGGACCAGTTTTTCTTAATTATTTTTTGTAAGTTAATATATAAGCTATTCGTGAGTACAAATAATGCATCAAGACACATAGAACTGAAGATTTGAAAATTAATTCATCGAACATAGGTGAGAACTTTGTATCTAACTAAATTGTTTTTGATCACGAGACACGTCATTAGCTGTCTAATTTTTACGGAGATTTACAAATCTAATTTTCCCTTTAAATAAGAGTTTGTCTTTTAGAAAAATTCTAAATATCCCGGAGCATTCGTTAAATCGAACAATAATGTACTAGTAGTCCTTATTCAACTATTTGCCAACGTCATTATCGAAAAGCAAATGTGTATATGCATCCCCTAAAGTTGTGTTCAGGTCTACTTTTGATCGGTCTTTAAATTCTCAGCGACCGGAAGAAAGTAAGAAAGTGCCTGCTCTTGAGCGCAACAGCCCTCAGAGATATCGACCAGCAAATATGACTGATGACTTATAAAGAAACATAATTATTTTTCACATTCTGAAAAGTTTTATGTCTTATTACAATTAGGTCCTAGTAAATGAAATATATATTTCCTTATGGCAATTAATCTTTATTTAGTTATTTGCTGTGGAACAAAACTGCATATCTTCGAATGATAAACATTTTGTATGTTTTAAAAAAGTATATTGTTTAATAATCTAAATAATTGTCTTCATTTTGATTATTGCAAGCTATTTCTTTAAACCTCTGACCTCCACTTTAAGGCTCTAATAACCAGGGCTCTGAATTGGCAAGCGATAAAACTAATTGAATTCCTACACATATAATTGCAATTTTTTGCAACTTTAGACAATCGTGCACATTATCACTACTTTACTACTTAAATTTTCTTAGATAAAACTCACCCATTTTTATATTTGAATTCAAGCATTTTTCATGAAATCAATCTATTAATTTTGAGTTTATTGCAAGTAGCGAATAAGAATATATTCTGAAGTGTTAAATTCAGTCGAAAATTCTACATTAAAGTCTTAATATTTCAAAAAATTGACTACTTTTAGATGCTTTAAATGTTTCATCATCCCATTTTCGGACGCGCTATAATCGGTGTATAATTCAATTTCCACCTTTGGTACTATTTGAAGTCCTTATGACCCGGGATTGATATCATTTTAAATAATAACTCTATTTCATTTAAATATGAAAACAATCCGAGATCGTTGTGAAGAACTACTTCATCTCTATCTAAATAATTGTTCTGACGAAACTAGCAGTTACAATATTGAGTTCCTTCTCGACGTGCTAACCTGTCTTTATTACGAATGTAGTTCCATCCAACATCGAAATGAGAGGAATTGCCAGAAATTTTGCAAATCAGGTAATTATTAAATATTTGATAGTATTTTTAAGTCAAACCAATCGTTGAAAAAATTGAGTCATGTCGATTGTCTCGAACGGAATTCGAAACTATTCGCTTGATCGGATCTGGAGCGTTCGGTGAAGTATCCCTCGTGCGATCGAAATCGACAAATGAGTATTTTGCTCTCAAATCCCTACATAAATATGATATGCTCAAGCGTTCAGATGTAAATATTTCCTCAATGTTTTAACTTGCTTCCAATTTAGAGAGCTTGTTTTCAGGAGGAACGTGAGGTACTCGTAAAAGGAATGATCAAGGGATCTCCTTGGATTACTCAACTTCATTACACCTTTCAAGATGAAAAATTTCTATATTTTGTTATGAAGTTTTACAATGGCGGTGATATGCTCACAATGTTGAGTAAATTTGATGATCAAATTCCCGAGGATGTGGCTCGATTTTATCTGGCGGAATTAGTCCTTGCAATTAATTCTCTTCACGAACTTGGATATGTCCATCGAGATATTAAGCCTGACAATGTTCTTCTTGAAACGTAAGTTGTCATTAGATCGTCTTTTATTCCTATCTCATTTTCTAAAGATCCGGTCACATCGTTTTAACGGATTTCGGATCGTGTCTACGAATTGGACAGGACGGTTTGATTAAGAATACTGCTGCTATTGGCACTCCTGATTATATTGCTCCGGAAATTTTACGAGCTGCCGAAGATTCTCATGGAACGTTCGGCGTCGAGTGCGATTATTGGTCTCTCGGAGTAGTAATGTACGAAATGCTATTCGGAGAAACTCCCTTCTATAGCGAAAATCTCATTCAAACATATAGTCAGATCATGAACTTTGAGGTAAATCGATGCCCATATCGAATACTTCCATCAAATCTGCACCTTTTAACTTATCGATATTTTATTTTCAGAAAACCTTCAGGTTTCCTGAAGATGAGGAAGGCGTTTCTGACGAAGCAAAGGATTTATTAAAACATTTTATTTGTGATCGCAAAACTCGCTATGGCCGTAATGGGATTGAGGAGATTGTGAAGCATCCATTCTTTAATGGAATCGATTGGCAAAACATTCGTTCCCGTGAGTACTCGACTTGTTTTCCTCAAATTCGTTGTCTCTTGATCGTTTACCTTCTTTCCTTCTTGTTTCTGCAGAACACGCTCCATATCAGCCAGAAGTTAAATCTCCAGAGGATACGTCGAATTTTGATATTGAGGAATCTGCCCGAACTTACGTAGGTCTTTTTTACAACTTTAAATGACTTTATTGGCCATTAAATAAGCTGTCTTTATCTCTCGTGAATTCAAAAAACATAATTGGCAGGTGTAGCGCATAGTGATTTCCAATATGAGTTCTGTTGGTACTTAGACTCTTCTGGATATCACTTTATGCGTTACTTTTACTATCCTGGTTCTTAAAAAATACTAAATATGTACTATGAACACATGAAAATCCCAAACTGTATTATATATTATTCTACCTTGTCTTTGACATGCATGTTGCCTCTGCACATTATATGTTCTTTAAATAAGTAATATGGCTATCCTAACGCTGACTCTTATCATAGAGGGCAGATTTTTCACCTCTAACATTCATCACTAAACTCGATCTAAGCATATTTGTCAATTGGCTCTGGATGGCTGAACTTAGTGAAAGTTATTAGATCATTAATGAGGCAAGAACCACTGTCGAAGCATAGATCAAAGGCTATGTTTTTAAAATCATTGACGAATTTCGCAGATTTATGGTTCTATGTGTCCTGTCAGGTTCAGCTTTGGAATCGATAATTTTGATCGAATGAATTTCTGCTCTCCTTTAATTGATGTACCAATCTCCTCTTATCTTATCGTTATGGCCCGTTTTCTTCGCTTCACGAACGTCAGATCTTGAATCACCTTGCATTATTGACATATTTTGCCCTTTATAACTATCGGTTTGATCAAACAAGCTCGAACTGACATATTCGCAATAAATAATATTTACTCTCATTAGTTGAGCATTCTTTGCATCTATTTGGGCAATTTTTCATTGTGTTTTTTTGTCAACTAGCCGCACAGTTGACACGTTCGTCTATGTATCAATGGTCCAGTTATGTCTAGCTATTAGGTAAGGTGGCAGATTGGAGTTTCACCTCAGATGTGACCACTGATACTTTTCTCTATCCTTAATGATTGAAAATGGACTTGTGCTCCCAGATAATTGATAATCCTGCTCATTTACTCATCTTATCTGCGCACTCAGTTACTCTCTCCTGACGCGGATATTTGCATTTGTCCATTTGTGGTATTCGCATTTGAACGAATATGAATGAGCGCGAGTGTCGGTTGTGTAAATAGTCTTGTGATGATGTCTTTATATGGTGACTACCTGCACATATGTGTGTTTACATGTGACTATTGTTTCTCGCGAGAGCGAAAAGTTGTTGGTTGGGGGGGGGAGGTATGGATGAATTAATTGTGTCGAATTTTGGTGGTGTTCGAATCACATTGGTCCCTTCTTTGGATTTCGCACTGGTCTGCAAGGTTTTCTTGATGGGGTGGGGGGGGGGGGGGGGGGGGGACAGTTTGGCTTTATTTTACCTCCCAACCCTCTGTTCATTCCTTGGGGTTTCTGACGGGAAAAACATTTATTACTTGACTTCTTTCTCAAAATCGCGTTGTTTGCGCTTCTGTTTATGAAACTTGTATTACTAACGTTAAAACAACCCGCCAAATGTGTTTTATTTCATCAATTGAATGTATCAAATAGCCTAATATCGTTAAAACGCCAATTTTGCTTCTTCATACTAACCTTTTGGTTCTCAATTTGATGAGGATTATTTTCTTGGGCTTGAATGTCTCGAAAGTTAGATAACTCAATGGAACAATTTTTGATCGATTAATTGTATAGTCGTGTTATCCCTCAGTTGATTATCGCATTTTTGTGTCTGGTTCTTTATTCGCTTCGGATCCTTTTGCAACAACAAAAGAAAACCACTTCCTTATCAATTTTGCAAATTGAAAGCACAAATTGGGTGAATAAATTAAATAAGCCCTAATAACGCTGATGCTGCTCTAATCGGAATACATAGCACTTCGAATTCTTCATTGTATAAAAAATTAAATTTTGGGGGCATGTGTACTCAATGACGCGTTTGGTGTTATTGTTTTCTGTTTTGAAACCCTTACGTTTATATTTAAATTTGGCTTGCATAATGTGAATAACTGACCCTAATGGGTCAGACAGCGTCTATTGATCTTTGGAATGCCTCCATTTTGTATTGGTTCTCAACATTTATATATTTATAACAAATACCGGGCTTTATTGTACTTATCATTAGCCCTTTAGCTGACTTCGGGCTTCACAGAGTGGGCGAACATCAAAGTCACAATAGTGGGGAGAGGGGGGGGGGGGTAANGGGGTGGCGGGGGTGGGGTGGGGGGTAGAGATTATACCTAAATTGTGAAAATAAAATGGCTTCCATCGGCATATAGAAAGTAAATAATGAAGTAACAAGGTGCGGTTTTAAAGGCGGCAACTTAATTTATTACTCATTTAAAAAAGTTAAAAGAAGGGCCACTGTTGAGTTCTTAAATCATATGTACCATTGCTCAAGGGGACAGTGCTATGGACTTGTTTGAAGACTAACTCAAATCTTCGGTCATCACCAGCTGAGTGTGATTTCACAAATAGTGGACTGGCGTTGTTCACATAAGCAAACTTTCGATTCAACATATCTTCTATACCTGTTTCGTCATCATTTAAAGCTATTCTTTTATTGATTAATCTACCTAACGCTATTGAACATTTATATTAAGTATTTGTGCATGAATTGTACCTAATTGCAGACACACAGAGTTTGTTTAAACTTCAAAAGTTTAATCAAGAAAGAAGTAGGTATAAAAAGGAAGGAGTTCACTGAAGTTTGAAGCAGGGAGGAGGTTTATGAAGTGGATAATAAAGTCCTTGCGCCATGAATCATTATTTCCACTTATTGCTCTGAATCAATAAGTTATTGACATTCAAAGCGAATAGTCCCCTCAGTTTGAACTGAATACTAGATTAATAACAAAGAAACATTGCTAATATTCAGTGTTTTTTTACTGGTTAAGTTAAAAGTGTAGTTAGGCTTGCAACTTCAATTTATTCGCAGCATATCAAAGTCAACTGGAGGTAGATGAACTAACAAGACCGTTTGAGACGTTAGTAAATAAATTGCTTTGTTCAGAATGATATAACTTTGTTGAAAAAAAGTAAACTTGGGGATTACTATAACGGATCAGCTGGCTTAGATTTAAATTCAGAACTTACTTAATTTATCATCCCAGTTTTATTGAAAAGCTTCGGACCGGCTGCATCATATTCGCATTAATGATATAAACAGCAGCATTTGATTATTATTGATTATTTTAATATACAAACTTCGAACTGTGCCGATCATTACAGATTGGGAATCTAATTGCCCGAAATCACATTTACACTGACTTACTGACAAATTAGTTTTTTGGGCGAAGTATATGGGCATTTTATTTGCTCACAAGGATTTCAGACCAGACAAAAAACATCAAAATTTCACTTAATTTGAGTAGACATCGTAAAATTCAATTGATAAACATCAATTCAATTATGAGTTAACAAAATTTTCGAGTTATTGAAAAACTATAATTTTTTTTAGCCACGTCACACTATATTCCACCCTAAGAAAATAAAACTTCACCTCATTGAAACCATTTTGATAATCAACTCAAATTACAATATTTTTTGATTAAATAGATGACAAGAGTTTATTATTGTTAATAAGAAACCAACCAGTAATCTAAAGTGCAACATTCGGCTTGTAGAACAGTTAACTGAGTGAATATTCAACAAATCGAATTCGAAGACTGAAAGAAGCAACATTTAAAACGCTAATTTTTTTACTCCCCTTCTCCACGACCTTTTTGATTTACTTTCCCATCCCTTTCCACTTGCTTTCCTTTATTGAAATTCTAAGTTATAAATGAAACATTCAATCTAATGGCCCCAAGCACGTTACATAGGCGAGGACCTCAACCAATCAAATTGTGCTAATTGATTAAATCAGGTTTAATAATAGACAGCGATTCATTAACTTTTAAATGTTAAATAATTGCACTTACATCAAAAACATAAAGTGCAAAGTCAATTTTAGGTGAAACGTCAGAGGTTTTACCATAATCAGTACTTTCTTAGTTGATGGGGAGACCTTGCATTCCAAATTTAATAACCTGTCACATTTATTGAAATCTGTTGACTCTTCACTTTTGGGCCTCTTATCACTATTGCTAGTGATTGATCTCTCAGCTTTCCAGGTGATTATTTATTTATACCAAATGGCAGGCGTTTTGGTACTTATCATTAGCCCTTTAGTTGACTTTGGGTTTCACAGAGGGAAAGAACAACAAAGTGAGAAAAATTCGAGAGAGACGGGACAGAAGAGTGATTCAAAAATATAAGAGACAGATAGATACAAAGGCAGAGAAAAGGTAAGATGAGTACTGTGGAAGTAGTCAAATATGGCATACAGTGGGGTGATGGTAGTTTGAAGTCAGAAGTCAACTGCCGGTTAATAGACATTTTACCGTATGAGTATGCGTTGCCCAGGATGCACCACGTGAAGGCAAGTCTATCACACATCCATTCCAGGTGTTTATGGATTTTCCCACTTATTCGAATCTTCCTGAATTGGCTCAACGCCACTACTGAGCTACAGCTTGACTGCCAAGCATCAATCTGCATGACAGTCATATTAGAAATATTTTTTGGCATTACCTAAGAACCATTTCTGTGTGCTGGGGCAAAATCCTTCTCCTAAAAAACCCATGGCAGCGCTGAAACAGGTCATGAGTTTTGGCATTTTATTTAAAAGTGAATAGTAACCTTTATAACTATACTTCGTGCTACTTCATCTGTACGTCAAGTCTATTTGAAGAATGATAACAATGGGTGTACCTTTTCGCAAAAACATTTNGGGGGGTAAGAGAATAGTGATTCACGGATGTGAAAGAGACAGACACAAAGGTGGAGGAAAAGGTGAGGTGAGTACTGTGGAAGTAGTAGTTTGGAATCGGAAGTCAACTAACGGTTTATAGACCTTTTTTGTCACATGAGTATACGTTGTCCAAGGTGCACCACATGTAGATAGGTCTATCGCGCACCCCGGTTCTCAACATGAAAATCAATATTTCCAAGTTTTCCTGGGTTTGCGCAAATGGTGAAATATTATTTGTTTAAATTTATTCACCCGCACGGTAAAAGCCCAGT